TGCTCAGCCCATGTTTAGGCCGTCAGCTTGGTAAGTCTTGATGCTTGTAGGTGCTGATATTTTCAGCAGACACAATCCCACAGCAAACTCCCTGATCTCAGACCCTTATGGTCTTTCTACAGTGTTCCTGGCCTGAGTCTTAGATGGGGGGGGTGGGGGGAGGTTATTTTGTAGATGTATCCACTGGGACTGGGCTCCATGACACCCCGTTTTGACTGGAGTGATGGCTTTCTGTAATGGTCTCTATCTATTTCATAGAGAAGTTTCCTTGTTGAAGGCTGAAGAACTTATCTGGGGGCTTAAGAACAAAGGTTTGGAATGTAGTTGGGGGTTACCAGCCACTATATCTTCAAGTTTAGCTGTATTAATCTAGGTCAAACTCCACTTCCTCAAGATGTGAGTCTCTGGTACCCAGAACACTTACAATTGACCCAGCATAGATCTCGGTCGCATTGTCCTTCTTCAGCTTAGTGCTAACAGACAACATGACTAGATCAACAAAGACCCTGGCTAACTTGCCACAAATACCTAACAGGTGCCTAGGGTGTGGGGCAGCAGGAGGTTAGAGACCTAATCATCCTTTGGAAATTCTTGTCTCAAATGTCCCCTAAGGTAACCCACCCAACCACAGCCTGTGTACAGCCTACAGAGGCCTGATGTTTGCGGTAAGTACACATCAGGACTGTGAGGCCTGATGTTTGCGGTAAGTACACATCAGGACTGTGAGGCCTGATGTTTGTGGTAAGTACACATCAGGACTGTGTGGGGAAAGGAAAATATGGGTTTGATTGGTAGCAAAATCCAGAAGTTTCTGGAAGTGCCATTTGAAATGAAAACCTTTAGGGATACAGGACAGGAGACCTGAGAACAGAGATGGTCACATGGTCTGAGCTTACCACTCAGCCCGGGAAAGCTCACTCAGCAGTGTGTGGGGGACTACCATACCTCATGTCACTGATGCTCAAAAAACTTTACTTGAAGTCCAGGGGAGAGATCTGTAGTGCTGAGGTCTGTTCTGGAAGGCCTGTCTCTCTCAAAGTGGGCCTGAGATTGGATTTTTTTTTAAACTGATGAGAGAATTCATGTTTTCTGAAACAGTAGGTCCTGAGTAAGCCTTTGGAGCTCATCTGACATTCTGGAAGGCTTGCCACCTCTGAACAAATGTCCATCCAGACACTTAGGAACAATGGCTTGGCCGCTTGCGACTCCTTCCCCAAGAGTCCTGCTTTTTCTATTGCTAACGTATAAAAAGTTTCCAGTCGGCACCTCCCCTGATGTTCACAATTAATCACATTCAGGGCAGGGGACAGAAAGTGGGGAGGGAGCTTGGAGCCTGGCCGGCCCCAACTGTCAGCAAGAGGAGGCAGATATATTGGTCAGGACAATTAGAGAGGAGGGTCAGGACATTAGAGGCTTTGGCCGAGAGTCCTGGCCATCAGGCTGGGCTCCTTTGGACAATGAATTAGTGTTGGCTGAACGAACCCAGTCAGACAAAGGGAATTAAAAGACAACTTTAATCAAGACTAAGCCTCATTTCCCAGCCAAGGTAGCAATGTCAATGCCTAAGAATGTCTGCTCTGGGCCGCCACGGTCCAGCTTGCCTCGTGAGTGGGGGACCCTGCACCTGCACCGGACAGCAGTGTGCACAAATGATTCAGGTCAGGGAGGACAATCTAGATCATTCTTGTTGCTTCCCAAGGATCTCAGCTGTGAGGCTGTTTATTTGTGAGGTGAGGGGAATTGAACCCAGAGCTCAGTACATGGGAAGCAAGCACTCTCCCACTAACCACGCCCTCCAGTCCGGACTCTTCCCCTTCCCTGACAAAAGACAACACTTCTCATTTGAACGCAGATTAGTACTGAACTCTGAGTTCATGAAGATAGATACTTTCAAGTAACCGCCAAGAACTACATGGTTAGTCCCGGGGTTGAGCTATAGTTGGACTGATCACGGCTTTCAGAACATTCTCCCATCCCTAGGGCCTCACCAAGGGCTCCTGGTCCTCCAGTTGAGTGCAGAAGCCACTCACCTGTGGGTGGAGGGGTGCTGCAGGGGGCGGACTGTCCCATACATTCTCTCCTCTTCCTCAGACACTCAGACAAACGGCTTGGTCTGAGGTTTTCTGTCAATTCTTTGATGGAAGCAGGAGGAACTTGAGGATCAATCAACAGCATTAGTTACTTCTGGCTGGGGAAATCAAGGAAGGCAAATTGATCTCTGAAGGAAAGGTTGGATTTAGGCCAATGTTTCTGAGCTCAGATGACACCTTGCAATTGCATCATGGGCAGTGATTAGAACTGTGAGCGCTGGGACTCACTCAGCCATTTCTCCTTCAGCTGCCTGGGGCGAGGCTCGAGCATTGGCATTGGTTCGGTCCCTCTGGGCGTTAACATGTGGCCATGTGTGAGAACCCCCATCTGAGGCTTCCAGCTGAGAGAACGATTGTATGTGTGGGCATGTGCCCCACCTCTCTCCATAGTGTGTGAACTCCTGGGACCGTGATTGTATGTGTGAGAGCGCATGTCCCATCTCTCGCCATAGTGTGTAAACTCCCGGGACGGCGCTTCACACCGTCAAGTATGAGTACTTGATGCACGGATAAACAGTATCGTTCCTCAGACCGCCTATCCCCTGGAGGCAGAAACTACTACTTTAAATATGTTGTAAGGCAGAGGGCTCCTAAGAAAAATCTGGGCCAGCTGGACCTGTGATTACTCTTCTAGTTGCTTAAGGCATGTCTAGACAGAAAAAAAAAAAAAAAAACAAAACCCTCCCAGACAGTGAAGGCAGGTGTCTGGTGGGGATTTTTGGTGGTGGTTTCTGTATTTTGGTAGAGCGTCTGATAGTCAGAAGCCTTCTCTTAGGCAGGCCATTAGATAGATCACTTGTTGGGGAAAGTTCTCTTAGTCACTAAGACTTCGCATCTGCTTTGCTCTAGGAAGGGTAGACCGTGGTACTACTTGTCTAAACAGTCTGGGAGGATCCTCTTCAATTATCCCCCGAAACACCATTGAGAGCCAAGCACCGGTAGTCTGAACACTCAGTTTAAAATGTTTATCAAAGAAACAAATGAAACAACCCCTCCAAAAACAAAACACAACACACAAAGAACAAAAGAACAGTGAGGTAAACAAGTCAGAAGAAGGAGAAACCGGGGTTCAGAATGAAGACTTCCTGTGTGAGCCTTGCTGCTAACAGCACTATGGGCCATATAGGTTTCATGTTTTTAATAGTCTGAGGTCATTTGGGTTTTAAAAATAGAGCACACACACAAAAAGGGAAGTTATTCAGAATTTGAGAGAACACGGGGAGTTTCACAATTAAATGAGAAGGGGGTGTTTGCTTTGTTCTCTGTGCTAGGGACCAAACTCGGAGCCTTGTGTATACCAGGCCAGTACCCACCTTGACGTTCTCTCTCCGGCCCGAAGCTTTCTGGAGACAGGGTCTCACCGTATAGCGAAGGCTGGCACTGGTCTCACAAAGTTGGCCTCAAACTCCAGATCCTCCTGCCTCAGCCTCCTGAATGCTGGTATCGGCAGGCGTGTGCCGCTAGCTGTACCCAGAGGAAAGCAGGGTTCTTGACTTCCATGTCCTGGTGTTTTCTGCTCTCCTCGCTCCCCTCCTTCCCACAGACACTGACTGCGCTAAAATAAAAACCCCACAACGGACGCTTACTGAGAGCGGTCCTGTTCTAATCACGGCGGTGGGACAGAGCCTGAGACGCTTTGGCCCAGGGGTCCTGGCGAGATGCTCTGAACTTGCCGAGGTGGGAAGGGGACAGTGTGTTCCAGAGGAGAGGTCGGGGAGCCCAACCAGAGTTTTGTGACCGTTCTTAACCAGCTGCCTTGGCTCCATTGAGCTGGCATTGTTAAGAACGGTGACAAAGATCCGTGGGCCAGCAGTGATCACAACTGATCTTGCTTACAACAGACACAAAACTGACAATCTGGCTCATACAACTGCGCTGAACAGGGAACGGGTCTGGGTGCGGGCAAGGCTGGATAAAGGGGCTCCGGTGGGTTCAATAAAAAGAGAATATATGCCGGGCGGTGGCGGCGCACGCCTTTAATCCCAGCACTCGGGAGGCAGAGCCAGAGCCAGGCGGATCTCTGTGAGTTCGAGGCCAGCTTGGGCTACCAAGTAATTGAAAAGTCCTAGGAAGTCCAGATTCACGATTTCCACTCTTTTCCTTTCATTCTCTCCTGTGTTGGCTCAGGGACTTCTTATGGTGACAACTCCTGTTCTATCTCCTCCAACAGGAAGAGCAGTTTCTCTCCCAGCAATCCCACTGCTCGTCTCTGCTATCAGCGGACGGTGGTACAGCCGCTCTTACCGCCCACCTCTAAGCCGGCCTCTGTGGCCAACCAAGACGGCGCTGGACTCTGATGGTTAGAGCTAAGTCCACACTCATCTTGGGTCACAAGTAGAAAAACAGCAACATGTAAGTCACAAGGGCTGAAAACAGGACAGTCTGGGTTGGCTGCAGAAGGCCTGGGGACAGGGGGGCTGTCTGCAGGGGGACCCCCTGCTGCCCCGAGGGGAGAGTCGGGCAGGAGGCGATCACTGGAGACCACAAGGCAGGGGGTTCAAAGAGCAGGTTAGAGGCAGTCCCCAGTGCGTGTATCTGGAGAGGCTGGAGACGAAGTGAACGACTGCGGACTCGAGACAGGGGGCTGAGTCATCTCTTCTCTGGAAGGTCAGAAATAGGGGAGGGAACCGATGCTGGCGCTGCGAGGGTGAGTGGGCGTCTCAGAGACGGAGGCTGGGGGCTGTTGTCTACAGAAGTCCTCAGGGAAGGAAGGAACAACTTCCGGACCCCGAGTCAGCCCCCTAGTCCCTGGGTGGGTCAGGGTCCCTCACCCCGGAGCACTCTCACTTTCTGTCCTCGAGGTCCTCAAAGCTTGCCGTGGAGGAAGAACGGCAAATCCAGAGAAGCGGTCCCCGACTCCCAGGCTCCAGGGAGGAGCTGACATTAAGTCACATTCGTCACCGAGGGGGTGCTGGCATCCGTCCAGGGGCCCGACAGGCTTTGCAGGGCAAGTGGTGCAGGAGCCGAGCTGGAGTGATGTAAAGAGAGGAGTGACAGGCGAGAACCACACGTTCCTTACAGGGCTCCGCAGGGTGTCCCGGAGTCTCACACAGGGCTTCCGAGGACGGCCACAGGCACTCTCACAGTTAGACATTACCGGAGATCCGTGGAGTCCCAGGTTTGCTACGGTGGGCCAGAAAAGGGGGTGGAGTCGGCGGCAGGAACAAGGCCGGTGAAAAGTGGCGAGGAAGAGGTGGGGGCTTGGGAAGCTCCCCACTTTCCACGGTGCACCTCTTGCAGGGCCTATCCCCACCCTCTCAGCCTACAACGCTTCCATGAGCGTCTCTTGAGCCTGTTGCAGCCCGCAGAAACAGGCGGGGTAACAAAACGCATGCATCACAGGCAGATAAAAGCCGAGCACTGTGGGGGAAAGCAGTCATTCCTGAAACTTCGTGGCTTTTCTTTCAGAGACAAGCAATTAAAAATAAGGGGAAGGAGACCCCCAAACTATGGCAATGGAGAGATGCCCTCCTTCCCCCACAAGAGCTGCCTAAGTGGCAAAGTTTGTGTGCAGCACTGCCCTCTGCTGGCCACAGCTAGATCTGCAGCTGAATGGCAGTGGCTTCTGCCATCTTGACGGGACTATGGAGAGCACAGGTGATTTGGGCTTTTGAATCATTGTACGTTGAGTAACATGCAACATGCCATCGTTAAATCCACACATCCTGCTCTTTAGAAACGGATTCCGCAGCTTGGGTTTTCAAGCTTTCTAGTTGACTCTTCTAATAAGACAAGCGCTCTATGAAAAACCTTAAGGGCTTGAAAAAGGGTTGGTTTGTTTGTTTTTAGCATTTCGATGTACATATAATGGTCATAGTCACTTGGAGATGGGCTATGAAAGTAGAATAATTTCCTAGGATTAACTAACTTCCAAATAATGTCTGATAATTCCATGATGTTAACAATAATGAGCAACATGGATTGAACATGTATGGTTATTGGTACCTTTTGTACACTACATTAATTTTTATGTATGTGTGCAAGTGGGAGAGAGAGAGAGAGAGAGAGAGAGAGAGAGAGAGAGAGAGAGAGAGAGAGAATGTGTTATTCTTCAGGCACAGTCCATCTTCTTAATACTTTTTTGTTGTTGTTATTGTTGTTTTCTGAGGCAGGGTTTCTCTGTGTATCAGCCTTGGCTGTCCTGGAACTCTCTCCGTAGACCAGACTGTCCTGGAACTCACAGAGATCCACCTGCCTCTGCCTCTGGAGTGCTGGGATTAAAGGTGTGCACCACCACCTCATAGCCTTAATACTTTTTAGATGGGTTCTCTCACTGGCTTGGAGCCTGACAACTAAGTTGAGGGCTGGCCAGAAGCCCCAGGGGACCACCCGTTTCCACCTCCTCAGTGCTTAGATTACAAGTACTAACTCCACACTCTGGAAGGTGGGGGAGGGCAGAGATTCTGATGGCCATCTGTCTATCTCAACCATCCCTCCTAGTATAAAATGGTTCCCCATTCTCCTCTGACAGCTACCCCAGGGGTCTTTAGCCTTAAATCATCTGTGAGATATCTTTCCTGCTGATGAAGGACTTCCATATCTACCATCTTATTTAAACCTCACAACCCCTGTGAAGCAGCTAGTTGGCCTGTATTTCACAAGTTAGGAAAGTAAGACACTTAGGTTTTTTGCCCATATTCTCACAGCTGGGTCAAGTGATTTATTCTGCCCATGTAATGGAAGCTGCTAAACTGAGGTGAAACTTGGCCAGAAGCCAGGAAAAGAGAGGAGTAGGCAGGGTGGTGTTGTTTTTGCTCTTTGGGGGGACCCACCACCCAGCTCCCAAATAAATCACACACAGAGACTTATTCTCAATTATAAATGTCTGGCCTTAGCTTGGCTTGTTTCTTGTCAGCTTTACCTAACTTATCCCGACTATCTTTTTTCTCTGTGCTTTTACCTTTCTCCATTTCTACATACCTTTCATTACTTTTTACTCCATGGCTTGTGTAGCTGGGTGGCTGGCCCCTGATGTCCTCCTCCTTCTCTAGCTCCTTCTTCTCTCTCCTCCTAGATTTCTCCTTCTAGATAGTCTGTCTGCCAGCCCCGCCTATCTTTTCTCCTGCCTTGCTATTGGCCGTTCAGTTCTTTATTAGACCATCAGGCATTTTAGACAGGCACAGTAACACAGCTTCACAGAGTTAAACAAATGCAACACAAACAAAAGTAACACAGCTTAGAATAATATTCCCCAACAGCAGGACTGTGAGGAGAAACAGGTCCTCACGGCACCATGGCCCAGGTCAACATTGCTCATTGTATCTGAAGACTTTTGATCTCGTCTCCATCAGAGATTCTAAAATTGAGGGGGTGGGCGGGGTTGAGAAATAAGGTCATGACAAAGACGAATGCAAAGTAAAGGCTGTTGGAGAGAAAATAGGGTTCTTAAAGGTTTTTCTCATCTTCTTTTAATATTTCTACATCCTCCTGTGGAATTGAACCCTCGGTTATGATCAAATGCCACAGAACACACAGAACCCTGACCCATGTCCCCCAGTGTGATGACACACACAGAGTTTCTTTCATTCATGGAGTTGGTTGTTACAGTTTGTCCTTCCAGGAGGTTTCAGGAGGTCCTAATTTGCTTTCCCATTTTCCTGCCCCCACTTTTATCAGGGTCTTTATCAGTGAGGAGGGCTGCCATTATTATATGATCACAAAGTTTTCATTTGGGGTCAGTTTAAAATATTTCAAGTTTCATTTTCATTGTGAAATGTTCCTACCCAGAAGAAAAGTAGTACAGAAACAGGTAGAAATTGACAACAAATTTAAAATAGTTGCATTTTCTAAACGCCGTTACATTATTGATTTCCAAATGATGTTTGGAGATTATGCATTGGCTTGCTGAAAGGAACATTTCTAGACTAATTAAGTTCCATGGAATTTCTCTGAGCAAAGCAAACAAAACAAGAAGGATTTACTAATTAGGCAGCTCCCAGAACCAAAGAAGGTTGTTTTGGTGTGTGTGTGTGTGTGTGTGTGTGTGTGTGTGTGTGTAGGGGAGTAAGGGGGTGTTTTCAAATCTTTATTTTTAACTGACACATAAAAATATACAAAAGGGTGCCATATGATATTTCCATATATGTATACATTGTATAATATTTTATATTAAACATACCTGTCCTCAGTTATCCCCATTTCTAGCTTTTTGAGCACACAGTACCTTGCTGTTACTGGTAGCCACTACTCTGTGTGACAGAGAAGCGCAATTTCTTGCTCCTATCTTAACAGCCCCTCGCCCCCTCCAGAAAGTTCTGAGAACTCCCGCCAGCAACCTGACCAGGCAGTATTTACTAGAAAAAAACAAAGGTGAGAAACAGAAAACAACTTAACTGATTACAGCCTCATCAATCAACCTGTCAATGGTCACAGCTTCGTTAAGAGCTGGCTACATGGTTTCCTGTGTCCAGCCAAGGCTCAGTTTCTGTTCTTGGAGTTCGTATTGGTTGATCTGTTTGGCCTAGGGCATGAGTTTGGTCTTCTCGAAAGGTTCCTGAACAGCTTTCCAATGATGTTACCGTTGCTGGGTTTTGGTGGTAGTACATCTCGATGTGGGCTATCTTGGTTCTGTGTCTGCTCAGCAAGAATGCCCGTTGTGCTGTTACTGGGGGAAGTGTTCTAGATAAACGCTCAAGTCAAGGTGGCTGGCAGAGTTCAGTCTTCCACGTCTTTGCTGATTTTCTGCCTGCTCTTTTTTTTTTTTTCTTTTAAGTTACTCACTGCTATTCCGTATGTTTGAGTATTTTGTCTCCATGTGTACCATGTGTGTGCCTGGTGTCTGCTGAGGCCAGAAGAGGGTGTCAGATCCCCTAAAACTGGAGTTACTGGAGTCACAGAAGGTTGTGAGCCACCAGGCAGGTGCTGGGAATTGAACCTGAGTCCTGTGGAACAGGAGCCAGTGCTCTTAACCACTGAGCCATCTCTCCAGCCCCTCGACATGTTCTCTGAACAGCCAGACAAAGGTCGTTGCAATCTCCACAGTAGTCACAGACTCGGCTATTTCTTCTTTAGTTTCCTTCATGTCCAATTTCACACATTTTAACAATCTATTTTTATTATGCTGTGTCTTCTTGTTGAATTGAACCCCTGTTATTATAAAATGTTCTTCATTGTCTCTGAAATATTCCCTGCTCTGAATTCCACTTTGATGATAACATGGCCATTTCTTTATGTTGAGAGTAGATCTCTTGAATTCTGTTCTTCATTCCAATTTTTATTCCTCTATTTTCTACTTTAGATTATTTGAATATCCAGTATTATAGTTGATTAACTGTGTTTGGATAATTAGGGTTCCATTTCAATTTACCTATTGGTTTTGGTACTTCAGGGGTTACAATATGCACCCCTAAACCACCACACTCCACCAACAGGTGCCATTTCATCATTTCAAATGAAATACAGGCCCCTTTCAATTCCACCAGTCCCTTTACCTTCCTCCTTATGTCTACAGACAGTGAAATATATTCTATACAGCTTAGGGTTTTTTTCTCTTTCAATAGTTGTACATGCTTTAACATCTGATGAGAGAAGAGCTGTTTTCACTAACATAGATATATGCTGCATCTTCTTTTTATGTTGCTCTTTACATCCCAAGCCTCCTTCTAATGTCATCTCTCTTCAGCCCAAAGATCATCACCAGCAATTCTTTTTGGGTAGGTCTGTTGGCCATAAATTCCTTTGTTTTCTTCATGGCATAGGACACCACGATGACCATGGTTAGACCCTACTTTTGGGTCAAAAGAGCAAAAATGAAAAGGCCAATAAATCTCCTACTTGGCAAACTAATTTTAAAGTATACTTTTTAAAAGGAAGATTTTGAAAGGAGGTGCCCTGAATTGATGTGCCTTTCCCCAGAAGACAAAGGTTATTAGATGAAAATCCCAGGGCCAGGCATGGGATACCTCCTTGTCAGTTATTGGGCAAGGAGGCCCCAGAGACCCCCAAAATAACAGACTATTGTCATTTTCTAGATTACACACTATAGCTAGATGGTAAAACCCTATTTCTGGATGACACCGTACACTTCCGTTGCAGAAAACGGAAATCAAGCTGTAGACTTCCTTCCTGTTGACTAGCTTTCATAGTTGGTAAAAAAAAAAAAAAAAAAAAAAAAGTGCTATCCAGGCTACTGGAGAGAAAAGGTCACAAATGGTCTCAGCCAGCACTGGACCCTGCATACTGCAATACCGACCTCCTGGTTGAGATGTCCATACCAGACAATAGTGGCATGACTGTTATTGGGGAACCAACAGTCTTTTAAAAAAATGTATTTTAGGCTTACTCCACAGCAGAATATTCATGCCTGCACTGTAAATATGTCCACATCCCATAACTGGGAGGGTCATAGGACCTAAACAGAAAATCTATTACTATTATTTTATTAAATGGATATGTTGTCAAACTAACTGACTTTTATACATGTGAGTGGTTATTCCTATAAATTAGTACTGTTGTCAAGTTGGTCAGAGAATCTCTTTTAAAAAGATTTATTTGCCTATTTTTATTTTTTAATATTTATTTTACTCGTATGAGTCTTTTGCCTGCTTGTATGTTATGTGTACCACATGTGTGTACCTGGTACCTGAGATTGTCAGAAG